TGTTGCATTTTAGCCCGTTCTTGCCTTTCTCTTTGTTTCTGGTCCACAGTGCCCTCTTGTTTGATGCTCCTGTGTTTATTGCACGATTATAAAGTAATGAACAGCCTCGCCTCTTTTAATTACTGCGCTCAGAGCAGGCATTACATGATGAGGTGTTATTAATGTGCCCATGAAGGCCTCCAGATTTCTCTGCCTCCAGCAGCCACGACTGTTTTAAAAACCACTTTTTAATATTTGAAACGCTTCAGTAAAAACAACTGTGTCTGATCACAGGAAGCTGCCTCCACTTTATTCTGGCAGATGTATTATGACTTCAGCGCGTGCTGGAATAATCCACCTTTGTTGGAGGTTTCTGTGTGTTTATTAATGAACACACACACAAAAGGCAGCTGGATAAAATCCCTCTTTAGATCCAGTGAGATCAGTATCAGCTGAAGTGCTTCTTCAAAGCAGATTTTAAGGAACTCGAGGGTTTCTAACAGATCTGCCACACAGGACAGTGTGCAGGAGTGGAACAGTCCCGTCCCGCCTCCCTTGTATCCCTCGGGTGGTCGCCACCTCTTTAGAGCTGGGCCCGATCCAATCAGTGCTCTGGACAAAGACCCAGGGGTCCAAATCTAAGTGGTCAAATACAACAGCGTCGCTCTTCCTGCCCGAGCCGGTCGCCTCTCCTAAACTCTGCTCTTCCAACTTATCTGAGAATATTCGGTAAATAACAAACTTTAAAAAAAGAAAAGAAACGCCCAAACTAAGAAAGGAGGGACTAAAGGCCGTGCAGCAGTCAGGTCATAGTTTAAATGTCTGAGGACAGAAGCAGGGTGTGTTTTCATGTAGTGAAGAAAACACGCCGTCTCTTTGGGAAGTTCAGCTGCTTCCTTCTGATGTTTGCTGCCCGTCTGCGTCGATGAGGCGAGTCGGCTCATTTTTAGTGTTTTTGTACCTCAGAGCCAACAAACGATCCTTTATTTTCTACAATACCAACGTTCTGCTGCTAGAGCTTTTAAAACAGCACATTTCTGATCACACGTAGAGATGTAC